AATTGCGTTATTTGTATGTAGACACTCATTTGCAATCTGTTACAGAAGATTGTGTTTTGTTTCTAGTTAGTTAGCTAGACTAACTAGGGAAGAGTATAAAAATATTGCTCGGGCATGTAGGAATGTTATCAGGAGGGCCAAATCGCACCTGGAGCTGCAGCTAGCCAGAGATGTCAAGAGTAACAAGAAGGGTTTCTTCAGGTATGTTGGCAACAAGAAGAAAGCCAAGGAATGTGTGGGCCCCTTACTGAATGAGGGAGGCAAACTAGTGACAGAGGATGTGGAAAAAGCTAATGTACTCAATGCTTTTTTTGCCTCTGTTTTCACTAACAAGGTCAGCTCCCAGACTGCTACGCTGGGCATCACAAAATGGGGAAGAGATGGCCAGCCCTCTGTGGAGATAGAGGTGGTTAGGGACTATTTAGAAAAGCTGGACGTGCACAAGTCCATGGGGCCGGACGAGTTGCATCTGAGAGTGCTGAAGGAATTGGCGGCTGTGATTGCAGAGCCATTGGCCATTATCTTTGAAAACTTGTGGCGAACCGGGGAAGTCCCGGATGACTGGAAAAAGGCTAATGTAGTGCCAATCTTTAAAAAAGGGAAGAAGGAGGATCCTGGGAACTACAGGCCAGTCAGCCTCACTTCAGTCCCTGGAAAAATCATGGAGCAGGTCCTCAAAGAATCAATCCTGAAGCACTTGCATGAGAGGAAAGTGATCAGGAACAGCCAGCATGGATTCACCAAGGGAAGGTCATGCCTGACTAATCTAATCGCCTTTTATGATGAGATTACTGGTTCTGTGGATGAAGGGAAAGCAGTGGATGTATTGTTTCTTGACTTTAGCAAAGCTTTTGACACGGTCTCCCACAGTATTCTTGTCAGCAAGTTAAGGAAGTATGGGCTGGATGAATGCACTACAAGGTGGGTAGAAAGCTGGCTAGATTGTCGGGCTCAACGGGTAGTGATCAATGGCTCCATATCTAGTTGGCAGCCGGTATCAAGTGGAGTACCCCAAGGGTCGGTCCTGGGGCCGGTTTTGTTCAATATCTTCATAAATGATCTGGAGGATGGTGTGGATTGCACTCTCAGCAAATTTGCGGATGATACTAAACTGGGAGGAGTGGTAGATACGCTGGAGGGGAGGGATAGGATACAGAGGGACCTAGACAAATTGGAGGATTGGGCCAAAAGAAATCTGATGAGGTTCAATAAGGATAAGTGCAGGGTCCTGCACTTAGGACGGAAGAATCCAATGCACCGCTACAGACTAGGGGCCGAATGGCTAGGCAGCAGTTCTGCGGAAAAGGACCTAGGGGTGACAGTGGACGAGAAGCTGGATATGAGTCAGCAGTGTGCCCTTGTTGCCAAGAAGGCCAATGGCATTTTGGGATGTATAAGTAGGGGCATAGCGAGCAGATCGAGGGACGTGATCGTTCCCCTCTATTCGACATTGGTGAGGCCTCATCTGGAGTACTGTGTCCAGTTTTGGGCCCCACACTTCAAGAAGGATGTGGATAAATTGGAGAGAGTCCAGCGAAGGGCAACAAAAATGATTAGGAGACTGGAACACATGAGTTATGAGGAGAGGCTGAGGGAGCTGGGATTGTTTAGCCTGCAGAAGAGAAGAATGAGGGGGATTTGATAGCTGCTTTCAACTACCTGAAAGGGGGTTCCAAAGAGGATGGCTCTAGACTGTTCTCAATGGTAGCAGATGACAGAACGAGGAGTAATGGTCTCAAGTTGCAGTGGGGGAGGTTTAGATTGGATATTAGGAAAAACTTTTTCACTAAGAGGGTGGTGAAACACTGGAATGCGTTACCTAGGGAGGTGGTAGAATCTCCTTCCTTAGAGGTTTTTAAGGTCAGGCTTGACAAAGCCCTGGCTGGGATGATTTAACTGGGAATTGGTCCTGCTTTGAGCAGGGGGTTGGACTAGATGACCTTCTGGGGTCCCTTCCAACGCTGATATTCTATGATTCTATAGACAGTTAACCATCTAGTGAAGAGAACCCATTGAGGACATCTGTCACCCTACAGTTCATGGTAATTTGGGGCTCAGATCTACCTAGTTTTCAATATCTTTACTTACATGAGGAGTCTCAAGCAACAGGAACAGCAATCTCAGTTGCCAAGAGGAAGAACAAACACTGAAGATTTAATTAAGGACATCTGAAACTGGGCCTGTCTGAAACTCACTCTTCTGGTAGAGTTTAGTCACAGCTAGATTAGCAGGAGAGCAAGCAGGAAAAGATTAAATGTAGCAGTACTCTATTGGGCAGGAGTTTTAATGCCAACTTTTGCTCTAAATTAGCTGATCACTTCTTAAACTGTACAGCAGTTTATTTTTTTGGCACTTTAGCTTTTAAAATCTCTTCTATAATATCCCAGCCTCTTGCCAGACCTGGTGTATTGCACTGTACAACCAAGAAATGTGCCCATGCATACGTACCTACGTGGATTGGTCTCTCTGTTCTGGTCACCAGAGCATTCGGGTTGCCACCATTGCCAACTAATAGTACTAACAGCAATGGAATTGCTGATTTGGAATCCTGAAACCTGTGGGTCAAATCCCAGGCAGGAGAGGTGACCACATCCCATACGCCTTTCCTGACATGCTGCTAGCACTGAAGACAGGGATGTTTGTGAACTGCATAGAGTCTCCTCAAATCAACCTGTAAAATCTGAAGTCAGACAAAACAGAAGAGTATGGAGTAGCTGTACGTAAAGTGAACAGGCCTGGCAATTTTATGGCCATTACTCGTATGGGCACATGCGTTAGCAGCAGCTCTGGCTCACCTTGCCTTTAGGTAGGAGGGGGAAAAGTCTACTTGTCTGACTGCCATACAAGGTCACTTGAAGAGGCTGTTGCACAGCACGAACCTCTAAGAACATGAACGATCTAAGAGCACCTCAGTAGTTTCAAGTTAGCCATGAAGGCAGGGAGACAGAACTGCAACCTGTAAGCCACAGAGACCAGCAGGTTTGTGGAGATAATCTCCAGGTTTGAAGATGTAAGTCTTTTGGTGAATAAAGTTTGGTAACATGGAAAATGAGTTGTTATCCTCTGGGTGAAACATTTTAGCCTCCTCTTCTAGATGTCTGCTGGCTCTCTCTAAAGAGGTCGCATCAAGGTCACAGAGCCAGAATTCAACCTGGACTAAAAATATGGTTAAAAACCTGCCCATGAGCAAATCTCCGCCACTGCAAAATAAATTACATCCCCCTTCCCTGCTGGAAGCACTGCACCAGCCCAGCCCAAGATGTTTCACACTATCAACTAAAAAGATCCCTAAAACTTTATAGGTCACACTAACATCCGTAGGATCCCAAATTGGAAACAGTTAACCAAATGCACACAAGGTAACATAACTTTTTGCTTGCACAGTAGGGAAGATTAAATGGTGACATGGCATTTTGCTGAGCTATCACCATTTTAGGTTTCTTATGAGCAATTCATTAAATGAGTGACATTTACAAATTTGTAGCTCAGTAGTTTGAGCATTGGCCTGCTAAACCCAAGGTTGTGAGTTCAATCCTTGAGGGGGCCATTTAGGGATCTGGGGCAAAAATTGGGGATTGGCCCTGCTTTGAGCAGGGGGTTGGATTAGATGACCTCCTGAGGTCCCCTCCAACCCTGATATTCTATGATTCTATGAACTACTGTTTAATTAGCATAGAGCACTCCGGGTCTTATTCTTTGTTGCCCTATGTCTTATGACATCATTTACACCACTGCAAGAGTGTAAAAGGTGAAAAACAGCATCAAACCATAATTCTAGTATTTTACATCCAGTGTACACTGGTTTAAATGACACAAGGTACAAGGTAATGGAGAAACAGATACTCAAGAGTCTATGACGGGCACTACAAAAAGTAAAATAAAATAAAAATCAGTCTGCCCTCTCCCCTGTACTAAGTGGTAACGTCAGCCCTCCCGCTGATGTGTAGTGAAACACTTCAGTCTCCCTCCCAGCCCTGTTGTGGGCATAACTGTGCACCAGCTGAGAGCAGAGAACTGGCCCAAGTTAGCCCTCTAGATCTGGAGGGTGAGAAGTATTGTTCCCATCTCTGAACCCTTTCCCTTTGCTCTGTTCAGAGTGAAGATGAGCTGTGAAGAGATCCGTGTGTTTGCAGTGAAATTTGGGCAAGACTTTGACCTCTATTTTGCAGGTAACTCTCCTCTTTTATAACTGGATGGGGTGTGCATTTTGGGATTTTTGTGCAGCTGATCAGCACTTGCCATGCAATTCAGTCCATTGCTGGGGTTGATTTATGGACTTCTGTAGCTGCCCACTTTGCTTCTCCATAACCTGTGAAGCCTTCAGAGCAATACTGGTCCTCACAGCTTGGCGAATGACAGTTCTGGGTCTCTGAGTCAGTCTTCCCAACATGCTCTATAAGAAGTTAGTGGAGCCAAGCCTGCTTCTTGAGATTCAAGCGAACACTCTAAGGGCTTGTCTTCACATACAGTGCTACAGCGCAGCTGTGCCCGTGCAGCTGCACCCCTGTAGGGCTTTAGCGAGGCCACTGCTACGCTGACAGGAGGGCTTCTCCCATCGGCAAAGTCCATCCACATCCCTGAGCGACGCAGTTATTTTGATACAGGTCTGTCGTGTAGACCTGGCTTGAGTCTTCTGTAATTTCAGCTGTTAAAATGCTGAATTGTTTTTAAATCACTGTTATTCTGATTTCACTTCAGTTTCCTCATAGGCATCAATCTGGAGCATTGCAGACTCAGTACCTCGGTTGATGGGCTACTTGCTGCTTATACGACATCTCCAGAGAAAGGATAATTGGAAGGGGTGATGGTTGTGGTGGAGGTGGGCTTTCCAGCTTACACTGGGGAATGAAACTGGTTAGAAAACGATCTGTTGTTTGTATACAGTCTAACAGTTTTTTCTCTTCTCCCCTTTCGTCGCTCGCTTGGAACACAGATGATGAAGGTAAAGTTGAAATCTGTTTGACATTTATGACTCTGGACTCAGCTAGTGCTGATTCTGCTTGCCATTCCCAACACTGTTGGCTAATCCCCCCCATGGTGTTCATCAGTATTTGGTGGTGACCTTAACACACGAGTGGTGGGCATGGAAAAAACTCCCTCCTTCCTGAGTTCATTAAGTGACTCCAAGTCAAAGATGTTCTGCAGCTGAAGCAGCTCACCTGGCACACAGGTGGCTTTGAGGATCGGGGAAAGGCCACCTATAGGATACTCCACCCACTGTCCTTACCTGTATTTAGCCTTCTCTTCTGAAGTCTAAACTGGAAGAGCAAATGCACATCCTGGGCCATCTTCCAATGATGGAACATGTAGAGCAGGGCTCTTCAATCTATCACATGGAGGCTCTCCCTGGGCACAAACTGGTTGGTGGGCAGTTTGGGGACGAGAGTAAAGATGGAATCCACTAATCTACTTAAGTCCGTGCTGCGATCCACCAAACCCAGTAAGCACCTAAACTCACTTGGTGTCGAAGTTTTTCAGAGTAGAAGTTCCCTAGATGCCTAAGTTTCTGCCTCTAGGGCCCACACCGCTGCCTCACACTAGGCGTCCAGACATCTACCTCCCACCTAAGCCCTGGAATGATTCACAAACTGGGAGACAATAGGTGGCTAAATGCCTCACCCAAGAGGCCCAAGCCGGCAGGTGCCTTCCGAGCATGCCTACTTGATCGGCCCCATTCAAAATTCAAGGGAGGAGGAGAAGGTACTGCCTCCATCCACTCTATAATTTCTATCACGAAAGAGTCATTTGGCCAGAGAGCGAGAGAATAAGTCTACTACCCAGCTCTTTGGACACCCACCTGAGGGGCAGGAGACCCTGGGTCCAATCAACCTGCTCCAATCAGTCTTTCAATATTTATCCACAGTGGAACAGCTTCAACAGGAGAGATGGAGGGAACCCTACATCAGAATTAATATCCCATTCTTCAGTGGTTAGCGCATCTCCTGAGAGGTGGGATACCTCTGTTCAAATCCTTTCTTCCCCTCTGTCAGGGAGGGGGGAACTGAATCTGGGCCTCCCACATCCCAGCTGAGTGCTCCAACCACTCAGCTAAAAGTTATAAAGTGGGCACCACCAACCATTTTGTATGGAACTAGGTCAGGAGACAGGCTAAAGGGGCTTTCTGGCACTCTTTGGACTATACCCAAGTCCCTAGTTGTTTCTGGGAAGAGTGGAGTTAGTTGTGACTGTCTGATTAATGTATATATTAAAAGGTCTGGAATGCGACAACTGGAAGAAGGAACACTCCCTACAGCACCAGATCTTTCGAAACACATCTAATCAGGTACTCGTGGTACAGCCAGGACCAGAGAATACTGTCACGAATGTATTTGAGTCTATGGCAGATCAAGAGATGATACCTGGTATGATACTTCTGGTTTCTACATGTCCTATAACAACTGTTTCCTCTAAGCTGTGCGCGTGCACACAGATCCTAAACCCCACTCACACGGCAAAACCCCGCATGCACAAAAATTTGCACAGAAGCACAACAATTTAAACAGACGCAATTTTTTTGCACACACGGCCTGTCAAAAATTAGAGGGAACATTGCCTGTAACCATTGCCCCAGCTCTTCATTCCAGGTACGCTTTTGCCCCATGTACCTCTTGGATTACCTCAGCTAGACCCGAGTTTAGCAACAGTTTCTAGTAATTGTAGTTTGTCCCTAATGCCAGCTAAGAACAGAGCTAAGCTCAGATAAAAGACATCAATCCTCGCCAAAAAAGATTTTGCACATTTTGGAGGTCGGCCAATCTGAGTACAGCTTCACATCACAGCAGAAGCCAAAGATCAGAAGTTCTAGCTGTGGGCAGACAAAAGATCAGGGAATTCCTCCCCCCCACCTCCCCCCAAACATTGTCCTGTACCACACCTATGAAAGAGGCATGTGGCTCTATAGCCTGAAACTAAGCCCAGGGGCTAGGGAAGTGCTGCAAAGATTTCTAAAGACCTCTATCACAAGCAAAGTTCTGAATCCCCATTTTGTATTAAGTGTCAGTGAGAAGCATCATTTTATATTGAACAAGCAAGGCAACGTATCTGGCACGAAGAGCAATTCGTCAGTCTCTTTTGGTGTGCATCAGCACCATCTCTACATGCCCCCACTTTTTTCAGTTATTCGTTCAGTGCCAGATTTCCAGATCCTGTTTACATTCAACATGAGAAGGAAATGCAACCCTCACCTTGTGCATGTGCTCCAAGGGATTTGCACACTGACATCACACTCTCTAGCCCTTAACTCTTTTGCCCACAAGATAACAGAAGTCCAGTTGAATTTTTGTCAGTCACAGGGCAGTACACAAAACAAATCCCAGCTCCATTCAGCTGTAAGGAAGGTCATGGACAGAGGCTGCTTGTGGTGGAGTAGTAAGATGCCTGGATAATAAAACTGTTGGAACCCCTTTACGTCTGTTTTTAAATGGCTGTTTGCAAACTTTCTGCACAGGCTCCTAACAGTAAGTACTTTGTGTTTAGGATGCGGAGTGCATTTCACCATCCATTATTACAAAGACTACACGTTGGAGGAAGGGTTGCCTGTGGCATTCAGCGTCCTGGTAGAAAACAAGACTTACTGTATGTACTGCACACATGAAAGTGGGGAAAAGACTATTCGATTTAGGGTAAGTAAATCCCTCTGTTTCTAGTGTTTGCCTTAACTCGACAGTTACATCAGGAACCCAAATTAAGAAAAAAATTAAACATGCTAGACTGTGTTTCTCAAATGTGGCCACCTGGGGATTTTTCTGCGGCCACAACAGCCTCATGGGCGGAGACAGGGATGGGGGACAAAGCAGCAGCCCGCTCCTACAGCTTCCAGCTGTTGCTCTTGGATGCACTGCCTTGATGTTTGCTGGCACCACCAGCAGGGGATTGGTGCCATGCACCGCACAGCCTCCTGGGGACTCCAGGCAGCACATCTTCAGGCACATGGGGCCATGGTTTGTGCTCGATGGGGGAGGAACCTTCAACACCTCAGGCACCTGGTGAGTTCCCAACCCACCTTCCCAGGCGTAGAGGGGCTTCGGGCTTCAGCTTGCCGGGGTTCCAGGAGAGGGCTTCAGCCCCGGGGCTCTGGGCTTAAGCCTCCCCATCCCCACCCTCAGCTCCAGTCCGGTGGCGGGCTCCAGACTTCAGCCTCTGGGCTTCAGCCTGGGGCAGTGAGCTTCAGCTTCAGGCTTCAGCCTTGTGGCAGTGGGGCTCCAGCTTGGAAAAACTGTCAGAGGAGCCACCAGCAAGAGTTGGTGGCCGCACTCTGAGGCAACCAAAAAATCTGTTATGAGAAACCCTCTGCTAGAACATGTTAAACTGTTCTTGAAGTAGAGATGTGAAAACTACAGACAAATGTCAAGTTTTTGCACTGGTAGTTAATCTGCATATTTCCTCCATTTCAGGAAGAAGAAGTTCCCCTAGAAATTCATGAACAAAGCAGTGACATCATCTTCATCCAAAAGTCAGTTTCACCAATACACACAAAAGCATTCAAATTTGAATCTTCACTAATGCGAGGCTACTTCTTGGCCTTTCAGAAAGAAGAGGACTTAAGCAAACTGATTTTAAAGCAATGTGAAAATGAAGACCAAGTGGATGAATCCATATATATGACTGTCTCCCAAATAAACTGATTTGATAACGTACCATACACAAGCAATATCTTGGCCATTTTTATCCAACTTTTATTACATAAGTGGTCAAATTATCTCTATGCTAAACTGTGTAACCACTCAAACACACAGCCTCCGGGCACTGAGTTAAATTCCTCGGGGTTTGTGCTGAGTTTATTGACTCCAGGATTAACACTTTTCAATTCTTACCTGCAGCTGAGAGCAAATACTGAAACATAAATTGGCGGACATGGAGCTTAGGAATTTTATGATCATAGAGATGAACGTCTGTTGCTAGTTACAACGGCTTCTATGGTAAGGCTGCTATTACTACAATGCCTTCTCCAAAAAAATAAAGCAAGTCTTTGCATAAGATTGTCATTGCCAACTTTTTGAATTAAGTATTACATTTGGAATTAAATGAACGTTTTGATTTTTTTTTTAATGAAGTGTCCATTTATGTCTCCCTCTATCACAACATGTAAAACTGAAGTAGATTTTGCAGACTCCTATGAGGAAGACTTGCTGTCTTTCTATCCATCTGTGCCGTAACAGGATGGGTCCGGGTCCGACAGACTCCGTTTTGTACTAGGAACTGACCACATGGCTAACCTTGTCAGCTTAGGCACATATATAAAGGGGAAGAAACTGTATTTTAAAAGGGGGTGTTATGAAAGGCTACATCTCCCCTACACGCTAGGGGTGTGATTTCCCAGCTCATTTACCTATACTTGCGATAGCTAACGCACAAGTACGAATCGTAGTGTAGCTGCAGGATTGGGCGAGCAGCAGCATGTCTTAGCCATGCTGAGCACAAAACCCGTGGGTACGTACTCAGCCCTACTAAGCCATGCTACCTCAGATACTCTGTACACATGCTAACTCTCATCAAGCTACCTAGCTTACAATTAGACATAGCCTGAAAAAGGTGGGCTGTCTGTCATCATATATCAGCAGGAAGGACCCTGCCTAGCCTAAATGCTGTCCCAACCTCAGACTTCCAGAAGGGTGGAGGTCCGATTAGGGGAGGAGGCATCTCAGGACTTTTATTTTATTTTACTAGCTCTCTGGTGCTTTATAAGAGCACTGACTGTTGTTAAGAAACTTCTTTGCTAAGCCTGTGCTCCTTGCTTTCCTGTCACACTGTTCCCAAAAGGGTTAAACTAGAATGCAGAGTGCCTACAGCTAGGTAGAAGGGGTGTGGGGGGAAGAGAAGGGTATGAAAACAGGTGCAAGGTCTGAGGCAGCTGGACTGCAGAGTGCCACATCCTGAGGAAGAGGTTAGAAAAGAGGGTTGAAGCTGGGTATAAACTCTACAGCCAAAGAGCTAGAGACCGGGACTAGACTTAGCCCAGACCCAGTTGGCTTCAGAGTACACTTATGACACACCAGTGATCACACAGGAGTGAGACAGGGCTAGGCTGCACCACACGTCACTACACAGAGCTCTACTGGGCTTGTGTAGTCGTGGCAGAGCGCTGGGAGAGAGCTCTAAAAAATCCACCTCCACAAGGGCCGCGGCTCCCAGCGCTGGTGCACTGTCTATACTGGCCCTTTACAGCACTGAAACTTGCTGCGCTCAGGGGTGTGGGTTTTTTTGCACCCCAAGCGAGAAAGTTGCAGCGCTGTAAATTGCCAGTGTAGACAAGCCCTTAGTGACAATAGCCACTTTATAAAAGGCTAGAAATTTGTATCTGAGAGTGGAGGAGTTGCCCTCTAAACTGCAGGCATGGAATTTGCCTCTCCATGCATGGCTCCATTGGTGTGACTAGAGCTGCACCCCAAATATAGAAGTCCAACTACACGTATGGGGGACGGTAACTGTGAATCAATTAAGAGCAGGCTCTCACCACTATCTTTCACACCAGCCCAAGAACTCAGTTGGGGCCCATTATCATTCAAACATTTATTATGCTGGACAGTTGGCAAAGATCCCATAAATAACTACAGATGACTCATTTCTATGGCTATTGCATCCTCCCAAGCAGGAAGCCATTATACTGACAGGCAGCCAGCTGCAGTCATGATTTCACACAAGAACACCCATATTTGAATTCTTATCCCAAAGACAGCTGTGATACTGACGCTGCCCTAAAATGCTGAGTAGATTCTAAAACAAATGAGATTTAGACCTTATGTGTAAATCTTAGTAGTCAAGAAAGGAATTAAAAATTTAAAACCATCTTGGGTAACATGAAACAACTTCATATTTCCAATTATTAGTTAACGAGACTGACAGTAAAAATAAATGTAGCCAATTTTCTTGCTTGAAAAATCCCATATAAGTCCCCCCTACCCTCCATTAACCTGGGCTTTGGAAACCTCTACACAGTCACAATGAGCATGTAAATCAGAGATCACTCTCTTTCCTATTTATTAACAAACAGAAATAAGTATGATGTTGCAGAGAGTTTAAAATCCACGTAAGGTGGCAGAATTGGCCCCTCTCACATAGGTTGAGGGTTTTGGTTTTTGCCATTTGACTTCAAGACTGTCTCTCCCCTGTGGAATCACACAGGCAGTACTCAGGAAAAGTGGGTGGGTGGGTTGTATTTTCTCCATGAGAGAGAATGCTGCTGACAGAAACAGACAATTTCCATTTGCACTGGTAAACCACATGCAGCTCATAAGTCCTGGAAATTAAGCTGCATTGAAACATTCTTTCCTTCTGTGTTTAGAATGGTTCATAAACAGAGGACAGTCTCAGTAACAACACCTCTCAGCACTGGATCTATTCAAAACATTGCATAAACAATGATTTCTTCCTAAAATAATACCTTCTTCAAGACAGAGTGGTGAGAAGATTTTAACTGTTTATAGCAGATAAAAATGACTGTCAGAATCACACATACACCCAACATTTGTAAATTCTTTATTGTATAGATTAACAAAAAGTCTTCCCTTTTTCAAACCGACTCTCAGGGCCCACTCAGAACATTATGTGAGGCACCTTGTGTACACTTCACGAATTGGAACATTGGAAACAATGGCTGAATCTTCCCACAGCCAAATTCATTTTACAAAATGGGCAATTAAACAGTAACTACACTGCAGCGATCAAAACAATGCAGCCACGGAAAGGGAAAATGGGTTGCAGCCATCCAAGACTGTTCCTGATACAGTAACTCTACTAATTCAACCCCAGTTACACTGTAGCTACATTGATTTACTCTTGTCTGAATCCAGTTCACATCAGCCTAACTCCTCTCTTCTGGCAGAGCCCCACTTTTTTGCTACGGATATTGGCTTTTGCAACACGGAGCCAGCTCAAATTGTAGATTTCTACCCATGCATTATGGATTCTTAATTACTGGTTTTCTCTCCTTGAATGATTTAGTAACAATATGATGAAGCAGAGGCAGCAGTGAACAATGATGTTTTGCCAGCAGTTCGGTTGCATCTCAGAGGCTCCACAGCATAGCCACAGCCTTGCAGATACCCACATCCTGATAGTTGAAGTAGCAGAGGCCTGCAAAGGTCACAGCTGAGAGTACATACAGACCTGTATTGGCCAGTTTAATAGATGGCTCCCCATGGACATAGTCAGTTATAACCTGCCCAAGACCCCTACAAAGAAAGAAAGAAAGAAACATGCTGAAAAGAGATCAGAGCAGTCCCTAATCAAATCTCGCGGCTTTCCTGGCCACCATCTATGGGGACTTTCCCTGAAACAAATGCCCTTGTAACACTCACATGTCTCAGTTTCCACATCTGCCTAAACTGAGCCATGTGCCTCCACTACTCAGAGGCTTTTGCTGGAGAAAATGACCCAATTCCTACTCAGCAGGCAGCTGTAGGCACTCACAGAACAGTTTGTGCTGACTAGTGATTACGGAGCCAAATAAAACTTGGCTACTAACCCTTTTAACAGTATCTAGGAAACACACAGCTAAGAGCTATTCCATTAATGAGTAAATTTCACTCCCAAACTAAGGAACAGTAACAGTGCAGAAGATCTAGCAGGATTCATTGTGCTAAAGCAGCTGTCACTGCGGGGCGGGGAAGAGATACCTGTTTTACCTAGATGGGCATTTTGATAGCCCCGGGTCACCAAAAGGCAGTGAGAGGAGGGCTATAATTCACACAGAAGAGGAGATGGGGAAGTCAGGAGGCTACAAGCCACAGAAAGAATCAGAGGAAGTGCAAGGGGTGACAACTCTCAAACTGCTAGAGCTATGTACTGCCACCAAGTAGTGGAACAGGGTGGTGGGGGGGGGGGGGGGTCTGATTGGTTCCTATCTGCACCCCTGGCTGTTCTGTATAAAGCCCCATAAAACACAAGGAGAGCAAATATGTATCCACAGGCAGCCCTTATGACCGCACCTTAGATAACTTAGCCTTTGACTGTTCTTACTTTGAATGGCAAAGTAAATATTACACACCAAAGAAGCTTGGTCTAAGATCTAAGTGACTTCAGGTTTCTTGTGCAAATAAAGTCAGATTTTGTACTGACACTCGCTTCATCAATCATCATGGTTGGCCTGTCAGGAGTGTGTGTTTTGCATGTGGTTTATGACAATACTTGCTGAGTAGAGATTTATACCTGAAGGTCTGAATGTATGGAGGTGCAGTGCAGAGCCATGACGCAGGATTTTAGCACGCCCCCCAAAGTGCCAAGTGAGAGCAAAGGAGAAAAACCAGAGGAAAAGTCTGCAAATGCTGGAGTTTCAGATCAGCCATTAGTATGGGCTCTCTGGCTTGTCACTGGGATTACAGTATCTTAAAGAGCCTTCCCTTTTTAAATTGTCCCAGCAGCAATGATGCACTTCAAGTCCAAAGCAATGGCTCCAAATGTAATAAAATCCCAGCCCCCCAGTAGGGGATGAGGAGAACACCCTACAAGGGTGCACAGGGATCTTTCACATTCCTACCTCTAGCCATCACAGGAAAAACATGACAGGAGAAACAGAGGAATGGCATGACTGACACACACTGGTCACTAGCGCAACAAGCTGGCTGTTTTTAGCCATCTTAGTAACTGAAAGTTCAGCTCCCCTACAGACCTCTAAACAGCTTAAGCCCCTGTAACCTTTGCTTTGGAAGTGGAGAGTTTCTTACTATCAGAGAAACATTTTCAAACTATGAACCCCCATGTGCAGGGGGAGGGTTTCATTTTGTGGCCTCTCTCCATGAGTCATAACAGAAAAGCCAAGACAAAGAGTGTTTATCCTGGAGCAATAGATAAGTGAAACTGAACAAGTTGGCTCTTGTTTTTTTGCTGGGGAAAGCCCCTAATTGTCTGGACAAAAAAGGGTTTTTTTTATTGTGGACATCCAGTTTAGAATTTACTATCCTACTCTTTGCAGAATCACCACAAGGTAGTCATGGAAGAAATGTCAGCATTTGCAAATATTTTTACTCACAAGGAAGCCCAGACAGTACAACTCAGTATCCTGCTACAAACCATGCCATGTCATATGTAATATCCCCTAAAACAGGAACCAC